GTTCTATCCCTCCCCCCCCCCCCCCCCCCCACTCCAGGCAAGCACGTTTTTGAGATCGTGTTCCCCATGGCCCACCGAGGCACTGACGCCTGTGTGGGGGTGGGGCACTTGGATGCTCCGCTACACGCCAAGGGCAAGGGCAGTCTGGTGGGCGGGAACAACAAGACCTGGGGCATCAACCTGCGCACGCGCAGAGCGCTCCACAACAACAGCATCGCCCGGAGGTACCCACAGACGCAGGTGAGGGAGAAATTGTGGTAATTGTTGTTGTTGTTGTTGTTGTTGTTGTAGCTTGATTGTTTGTTTGATGTTATTGTTGTTGTTGTGGTTTGCTTGTTTGTTTGTTTGATGTTGTTGTTGTTGTCACTGCTATCATTGCTTTGTTGTTGGTGGTGGTTGTAGTTGTTATTGTTGTTGTCGTTGCTCTTATTGTTATTTGTTTGTTTTTGTTTGTTTTTTGTAGTTTGTTTGCTTTTGTTGTTGTTGTTGTCGTTGTTGTTGTCGTTGTTGTTGTTGTTGTTATTGTAGTTGTTGTTGTTTTTGTTTGTTTGTTTGTTTCTGTTGTTTATGGTAATGATGATGATGATGACGATACAGTCGAACTTGTCCATAATGGTCACTCAAAATTACGGAGAAAAATGACCGTTATAGACAAATGGCCTCTATGGACAGGGTATACGTTTTTGTCACAAAGTAAAAAGTAAGGTGAGTAGAGTATGACCAATCCGTGTCATCGATATCTCCTGACGTCATGTTGGAAACCATAGCTAGCTCACTACTGACTCAGCCACCTGTGCCGCGATCAGGAGAGAACATTCTGTGCTGACGTTACCCGCGCTGAGCTCACTGTGGAGAGAGAGAACTGTGCAGTAGTAGCCGTGCCAAAATGTGTGACTGCTTGCATCAGCCTGTCATCGTTGGCTGGGGGAAAAAGTGATAATGATGTTATTGTGGATGTAAGTTGAGACCAAGTAGGCTAGTCAATGAACTCAGGCTCAAATACAACGTCAAGCATTGAATGTCTGTGACCCACATTATGGGTTCGCTGCATAAGCTCAGCTGATAACCTTCCGGACTATGGATGGGCCGTTTAATTCGGAGGTCCGACTTCATAATTGGTCGCTAACCCAGATTTCGGGGATTTCCAGAAATCTTGACCTACACCAAAAGTGGGCATTGCCCTACCTATATTAGGAGTTTGGTTCAATTGATGTGTATATTTGTTTGGTTATAGAGAAAACTCTCCATGTCTTTTAAAGAAATTAAACAAGGGGCAAAAGCTTGCATCATGCTGGGCTATAGAGATGGACCTTTCATTCGGAGGTTCCACTTCATAAATAAGCATACCGTGATGAAAGTGACGTTAATCCTATACTGGATTCAGAACGTTAAAAAACATGGGGGGGTAGAGTTGCATGACGTAATGGCTACCCCAAATTTAGACCCACTTAGAGTAGAGTAGACTGCTAAGAGTATCGTGGAAGGAAAAGAAATCAAATGAGGTAGTGCTTGATGAAGCCCACGTGGGACGCTCAATGTTAAAAACAATCAGGAAACGACAAATGCAGTTTTTGGGACACCTGAATAGACATAAGGGTCTTGAACATCTAGCTCTCACTGGCAAAATTGAGGGAAAGT